TTCTAAATTATCTGTGGAAATTTAAATATTAATAATATTTATATTCCCAACCGATTTTTATGCTTTTTTTAAACGAGTTCCGAATTCCCCTGCCACATGTAGAGCTCAACAGTGACAGAAGAATTCAGAAAAAGACAGAGACAGCGTGAGAGCGGGACAACAACATTGCTCATTAACATAATTAGTTGAGCTGAATTGGCATTATGCAGCTTTGACAGCTGTTTAGATATTCGTGAAAGTTGCAGCAAATTTGATGAAGTTGAGTTAGAGTGGGGAATGACAAGTGGACAGAGCGCAACTGTGCGCATTATTGTAGACTTTGGACTGAGTTAAATGAGAGATAAGTAATTGCTTAGACAGCTTAAGCTTATTAAATATTAATGACGCTCCGCTCTGCCACACTCTCCCGCTCCTCTCTTTCGCTTTCTCTATCTCTCTACGCGAGGCTCACTCAAGCCCAGAGGCTTTAACTAAATGGTTCAGCGTCTTTGAAGTGACAAAAGATTTGCGTATTGCTGAAATTATTTATGATACTCATTCGGGAAAGTGAATTGAGTATATTGGTTTTGTGCCATGTCTATCTGTCAGGCTGTTCTTATGAATGGATGAGGCGTGAAATCTCGTATATATCGTCGAATTAGAAAATGTCAAGATTTTTTCAATCCGCCCACTAAGGGCGTGGCTAGAGAGTTTAAGTACGGGCTAAAATCTATAAGATATAGTGGATAAATCTAAGCTCATTGTCGGCGTGCCAAGTCGCAAAATACATTTGAATGAGTATTCTACAGTCGGCAACACCCGACTGCAGCGCTCTAACTTGTTTCTGAATGGTTGTGGTAAACGCAATGAAAAACGCAATCAAATAATTATGCCAAGTACCAAATAAGATTATCATCGTACATTGCTGATGGTTATCTACTTACAGTATGTGTCAGTTGTTAAACGATCGATGGTATCCTGTTTCAATTTCGAGCTCTTTTTACCCATGTTGTCGTTGTTGTTTTTCCTCTTACAGTTGCTCCTTCCGGTTCTGGTTGCTGTTGTTGTTGTTGCTCCTTAACTGACGGCGCTGTTACTGCTGAGGCTTCACCTTTTGGCAGCACTTGACTACTATTGCTTTTTAGTGCCGAACTTTTAAGTTTCACAACTTGTTTCTTCTTCGTTTTTTTAACTTTTCCTAAAGTTTTTTAATATGCTCTATAATATTTCGCTAGATAAAAAAAATGGCACACACATAGACGCACACACACACAAGCAACTATAACTATAACAAGCATTACAACGGAATTGCACCATTTCACACAAACACTATTGATTCGACTTGAAAATATTTTGTTTTCCTTTTTCTTTTTTTTTTTTTTGTGTTTTGTTTTTTTCTTCTATTTATTTTTTTCTAATTTGTGCTATATTGTGCTTGGTCCGCTTGTCATGTGTTCCGTGTGCCGATAGTCAGGTGTTCAGATTAGAAGATAAGCCACGACTATGTTGATAAGCTGGCAACTGCGCGCTTTAGCTGCCCTCGGCCCTCAAACGCACGTCTCTAATACATGTACTATAAATTTAATCGATTATCTAAATATAAGCAAAGAATTTGCTTAATATAAACATAGTTAATTAACTTGGGCCTTTAAATATTGTATGTACGTAAATAGCTCTATTCCGGGAAAAGCAGATTTCAGATTACCCACGATGCAAYGATCCTATTATCCCAAATATGGAAAAGACCTTGATATAAACGGATATATTTTTAAAGACTGCGACTCATATGACCGACTTGCCTCTAAAGGTAGAAGTAAAATTAAATATATGTAAAAATTTTTACAAAAAAAAACTTTAACTGACATCTGACTCTCGCTCTTTCTTTCTCTCTTCCTTTCTGTCTGCTATTTTTTTCCCTCCCTCCATCACTTTGTATCTTTATAACCCTTTTGTATCTCAAATTTAATGGAACCTTGTATATATTTCTGTAATTTTTTCCATATTGCTGTCTCTCACCTCGATTTTATTTTCTCATTCTTCATCTTATTGACGCTCCGCTCTCCTTTCTCTATTGTGTCTCTTTCTTTACGCTCTCTCTTCCTCCCTCGCTCTCTCTCTCTCTCTCTCTCTCTCTCTCTCTCTCTCTCTCTTCGACGCTAACCCACGATTTCGATCACTTACTCTCTCTCTCTCTCTCTCTATCTGAGCCTGTCTCTCTTTATTCTTCCTCTCTCTCTCAGTCTGTCTCTCTTTCTTCTCTCGCTTCCACCTATTCTCCCTTATTCTCTCTCTTTCATTCTTCCTCCAATGTCTTTCCTAAATATTTTTGCCATAGTCTCTTTCTGTCTTTCTCATTTCCTCTCTCTCCTATTTCTCTCTCTCTCTCTCTCTGTGTCTCTCTGTGTCTCTCTATTTCTTGGAATCACTCTTATTATCAATCTTTATCTCGTTTTACATATAATTTTCTCTCAACCTTTCTTTTTCCCGCTGCTCTACTCTTGCTCACTCTCCTGTCTCACTCTCTGTCTATCTTTCCGCTGTTTCCGCTATTCTGTCTCTATTCTTTCCTCTATCTGCTCTTTCACTATCACCCTCCTTCTCTCTCTCTCTCTCTCTCTATCTTTCTCTCTCTAACTAACTTTATCCTGTTACGTATGCCTGATGAATAATATATATTTTTATATAGTATTTTCATTTATGGCTACAAATGCGAAATGCACGAAACGTTAGCTCGATTGACGGGATTTAGTAGATTGATCTGCTGCTAGATGCAACCGTTTGGCATAATGGATTACGGTTTATCCTGTTGACAATTCATTTGTTATGGCTGTGCGGCGTAGATGTTGTGCAATTTGCATGAAATCCAACACAAAGCTGACGGTAGACATTTTGATGACTCGGACAAAGAGATGGTAGCAGTCGGGTTGTGGGCGAGACCCTGGACGTTGCCTGGATGTTCAATTTGGGAGAGACGAGGCGTGTCATGCACACACAAAAAAAAAGAACTGAATAATGAAGACGTACACAAAAACATAATAGAACAGAACACACGCCAAATACAGCGCACACATTTCACATTTCAGGTCAACTCTAGACTCGAACTTTTCATGACAGTTGCCAATGGCAACAGCAACAGTGACAGCAACAGCAACAGCAACAGCAACAACAACTAAAAAATGGCCAGAACGGGGAGCTGATGCTAACAAAAGCGCATAAAAAAGAAACTTAACCCTGCATATGTGGGTAAAGAGTGGCCAAGGGTGGTGTTGAATGTTGTCCCTTACTCCCAGCCTCTCTCTCCCCCTCCCCCTCTCACTCTCTCGCTCTATTTGTATTGCCTGCTGCCACTGACGCGCATAGCATAAAAATAAGTTGCCTTTGTTTGCCCAGGCAGACAGACACGAGTGACGACAATGACGACGACGACGACGACGACGACGACGACGACAACGACGACGACGGCGACTGCTCTGACAATGTCGCTCGCAATGAGGCGCATAAAAATGCAATGAAATAAATGCTGTTAATTTCAGACGCAGACACACAGTAACAGCAACAGCAACAGCAATAACAATAACAACTAGTAGCTGGCGGTGCTCTAGCCGAGCTGCTGGCATGTGAAGCGGCCGTTAAGCCGCAGCAAAAAGTGTCAAGTGCGGGCCAACAGCCAAAATCAAAGCTACATACTCAGCCCGCCCACAAAAGTAGGCAACGCTTTTTCATTTTAAGCATCCCAAGTAGTTCATGCACGCTGCTTCGCCGAATCTTCAGGGGCAAAATCCACACAGAATAGCAAAATTCTGTTTTGTTTCCAATTGCACATATATCTATATACACATATGTATATATATAGATAGCCAGGCAACAACCTCTTGAACTAAAATCTATCAAATATCCATCAACTATTCCCGTAAACTTTGTCTGCGATATTGCTGCAAACTCTTGCCACTCCAAAGCTGCGAATGCTGTTTACGCTTTCATTTCCTAGCCTTAAATATATATATTAACTTAATTTCTGCTGGCGTAAGAACACTAAGGAAATACCCTGAGCTAATTATATAAAATTTTTCGACTGAAAAAATGAAAAATAAAAAGGAAATCAAGTAAAAAGTTCTAGTCGAGAAAAAATAGCCGACTAGAAAATACCCAGAAATCAGAGTTGGGTCTGATCTGCGTTTTTAATGTGAATCTAGTTTAGCTTTTTTCTTATAAAAATGCTTTTATTTTATTAGTCAATTGCTATGCTACCTTTAGTAGGAATATGCGCAAAATCAAACTATAAACGCATACAGGTCCTGCAAAATCGTGTATTGCGGCAAATTACAAACTGCCCATGGTATGTGCGCGGCTCAACTCTACATCGAGATCTGAAACTGTTTACTGTGGAGGAACAGATTGGGAGACACACTAGTCGATATAGTGACAGACTGGCTAGACACCGGAGACTAGCGAGAAGATTGCTTCCTGCGAGACCACTAAGGCGATTAAAACGCTTGGGTTTTGCCAAAAATATGAGATAAGTCGTTTAGGGATACTTGTAAATATATATTTGTAAGTCCTCCTGAATACATCAGAAGGTTAGGTGTTATATAAAAATTCTAATTGTGTTGTTAAGGTACTAAACTTGCATTGTACAGATTCAGCGCTTAAAATATATATACAAATAAAAAAAAAAAAAAAAAAAAAACCTTTAGTAGGAATTATTTCTAGTTTTACGTGGCATAAGCTTACAAAATCTAAATACAACGCATTTTATAAGACCAATGAAATCTTTAAGTAAGCTTAAGACGTTTTAGTGACGCTCACCGCCTCTACCAACACCGTCACTTCACTGCTCGAACACCATCTGGTAAATGCAGGCTAAAGTAACAGGTGACAGGCTAAGCACAATTCAATTGCGATTCTTAGATGAAACAAGCATGCACTTGTGTGTGTATATGTATGATTATATGGAGAAAGTTCGAGCACTTAGTCAAGCGTTTTCTTTTATAACTTCTGCCTTACTTCACGGATTTTAATGAAATTTTCTGCATTTGATCTACGCATTCTATAGAATATTTGTAAGTATAGTTTAGCCGGAAGCTCTGTCAAATATTGGCTAGATTTGCGACTGTACTAGAAATTCGAAAATTTATTTAAAAAAATTAAGAATCTGTAAATTGTATAAGTGAATAAGTAAAGAGGCTCTAAATTACTATGAGTCCATAACTCAGAATAATTATCAATTACTTAAATAAACTTGATCTGCACGTGCTCTCTTAATGATTCTGAGATCTATAGCTGGAAAGACTGACGAGCAGGCAGTCGAATATCGTAAGACGACTCAGCTGGTCGTTCTGTTCAAGAATATATATATGTACTTTACGCCACGCCTTCTTCAGCCTGTTACAGAAAACCTATATACCCTGCACTCTGCTCATTCGCAATGGGTTCAGGCCATTCGAACGCATAGTCCGGCGTTATCGCCTCGTTAAAAGTAACTAAATAGTTGCACTTGGCAATTTTTGTACATGAAAATACTTTTCAACTATTTGCGATTTCTTTTCTTTTTTTTGTATTCTTTTACTTGCAGATATTATCAGGCTAAACTTTTGCTGGCTGTGTTATGGAAAACAAAGACATTAAATATTATTCGATCCATGGCATGGCAGTTGTTTGCCTTGGCTATTATTTTAAAAGTCGTTTTTGTCCTCGTTTGTTTACGAAATTGACAGAAACACACACACACTTACACAATAGCGATAACACCTGACTTGTACACACACACACACACACATACATACACAGCGCCTCTTGTTTGTTTTTCTTTTCCCTTGTTTTTTACTGCATATACTATTGGCATTTTCTAACTAACCACGACTCATTCTCTGCATGTGCATAAGCGTGCATAACTGTGGGAGTGTGTGTGTGTGTGCGTTATCTTGTCAGCTGCCTGTGCCTGTGCCTGTGTGTGTGTGTGTGTGTGTGTGTGTATTTGTGCATTCGTGTGTAATGCCTTGCGAAAAGCTTTCTCAGTATTTCGCTTTGCAGAATTGTTCACACTAAAAATATTTTTACGTTTATTTCGTTCACAGCTGGCTGCTAATGCAGTGCCAGACAGAGATGCAGGTAGCTCACGCATACACATGCATGCATACACACGCACAAGCACAGAGGCGCCTTTGCCATTGCCACGCCCACCTACCCAAATTCGGTGGC